TGTGTGTGTGTGTGTGTACATTGCTGCAATGACTGCATATGGAAGAGAGGACACAGAGGAGACAGATTTTCAATTTGTTGCCCATTTAAAAAGAGATCAGTCTCAATATGTCATGGAATGATGCCCACCCTCCTCTGTCGGATGCCAGATAGTGGGACATGGGGACTGGGCAGGTTCCTTCCCAGTGACAAATAGGGGCGTAAACAGCCTGAAATTGGAGGGCAACTTATTGTTTTTACTACAGTACATAGTTAACTTTTACTTTAGTTAAGGATTTGTCTGTACGTGTCCCAGTATTTTCCCTTTTTGCTTTGTATTTTGGCTCTTTCTGCTTTCTTTTCATAAATTCCAGAAAGACTGAACTCATTTTTGATTCATTGGTTTGTTTCTACAGTAGCATGAATTATCTATTACACACTGTTTTGTTGACTCAAACTTCCACATGATTAAGTCATACCGTCAGGGATTGCCGATACAAGCTGTTTTTGATTTTCCAAGTTTGCTAGGTGGTTAATTTGCGAGGTTGGTTGCTAATTTGAAAGCTTTGTTTGATGTTTGGATCCTATCGAGCGCAGCCCTGGCCTTTCCAGTTAGTTTAAAGCTGTGTGTGCTGCTCAAAGAGTTTGTGAAAAAGCCCCCATCCCTTATTGGATGGCCCACACTCGAGTTTCTGCGGAGCATAATGACTAGGACTTACTGAACATGTCAGCGGTACGGCTTGCCATCATCTTTTTTCTGCTTTTTCAGTTCTTTCCACTGTCTTCTGGGAAATCATTTTGAGATGGGGAAGAGGGTAATTTCTTGAATCTTGATTTGGGTATTTTTGTATTTACCCCAATTTATACCTCATATACAAAATATGGCCAAAGGTATTGGACACCCTTGTCCAAATACTCCTATATACTTTTGATAGGTGGCTGTTTTTTGGGTTTTTTTTTAACTAGGCCACTTCGTTCCAATTAAGCATAAAGCAAAGTTTGAGGAAGTCTTTTTTCTTGTTTTAAGATGACTGTGCCTCTGTGCAGAGAGCATCATCCAGAAAGAAATAGCTTTCTAAGTTTGGTGTGAAAAAAATTGACCAGTCTGCACAGAGCCCTCATTTCAACCCCATCTAACACCTTGATGAACTGGAAAATTGACCGCAAGACAAACTTTATCATCTTATCACCCAACATCGGTGGCTGACTCCACTAATGCTCCCATTCAGCCACAAGCCATCCCTAAAAGTGATTTTAAAAGTTCAATGTTTTGGTGTTATGAATAAAAACAAACTTGTCAATCCAGAACACATTTGTCCATCTAGTATATGTGTACACACGTTTTTCATTGTGCCATGAGGACTCATGGGAGATTCTGCCCTTTTGAGCTGTCAATGCATTCAGTGCATCTTTGTAATAAGCCCCTCCCTTTTGCTTCTCTCTTTATTTTCAGAAAACAAAGACTATGATGCGTATCTGTCCTACACCAAAGTGGACCCTGACCAGTGGAGTCAGGAGACCAGGGAGGAGGAGCGCTTCGCCCTGGAGATCCTCCCTGATGTCCTAGAGAAACATTACGGCTACAAACTCTTCATTCCAGATCGAGACCTCATTCCAACAGGAAGTAAGCACCATGTCTGCGTATATAAGCTTGTACACATACGTTCATGTAACTTGTTGTACTGAAGTGCGAGGGCATTTACAGTTGCTCGTATACTGTAGTTGCTGTAGTGTTTGGCACATTTGTTACAGTTCACTGTCATTCACCAGCAGGGACCACGCCACAACGAGTTTTAATGTCTGATGAAATTAATAAGTATTTAATTTTGAGGCTTGATGAATGGATGTTAGGAAGAGGATGAACGTGGAGTTGACTCAGGGTAAAGTAGTAGTATTTTATGCCCCCCAAAAAATTCAACACATTTAAATGGAGCTGAGGTGAGAATGAGCTTGCCGGATATTTGTTGTTGAAAATGTCAGAGCACTATGCCAGAGATGACCAGTGACCGAGGACTTAAATGGTTTGATCTGAGATGCCCAGTCTGGCTGCTGCATTTTTAAGATGTGCCAGAAATACAGAGGACTTGGTGAAAATGCTAGTGACACCAGAATCTAGTGAGCATGAGATTGAGAATGAATACACATAATTAAATGTTTGGCTGAATTAATCACCAAAGATGTTCAGCTGGACACTGATGTCAATCAAGCCCTGTGCCAGTTTCAAACGATCTGATGTCCCAGCATATAAAATTTAGCGCTAACTGAGTTACAACGTCCTTGTCCTCCTGTTTTGGCGGTTTGTGAGTTATGTTCTTGGACAAATATATTGTTAACTGGGGCAGCACCTGTGCTCCTGCTGCAGCTGTATGTTTCCTCAGAGAGCATGTGTGAGCCAGGTACCCAACACAGTGCAGGACTCTGGTCAGAAGTATGAATGGCAATATCAGATAGACTGTAATGAAGAGGAGATTTATAGGTAGATGTAGTTTGAGAATTCAAATTACCACAGGTAGCTGAGAAAAGAAAAGCCAGAAAGCAAGCAAGAACATGGATTCTAAAGTTAAGTTGACCTTGGAGGGGTTCAGTGAGAGCAGACTGGAGGTTGTGGTAAATATGGGAAGTGCCAGGCATGACTTCCATTTGTGAAACGATTGATGAGAAAGTGAACAAACTCTGTTTTGGGATGTATTTGTAGAGCAGTAACTGGGACAATTACCTTACAGAGTGTACTGAGGTGCTTTGCTAGTCAATCTTCAGGTGTGGTTGGGTTGCAAGGGCAGCTATTCCTTGCGTGGGCACTTCCACGGAAGGATTAGGCATGCAGAAGGCAAGCGGTTAGAAAGGATGCAGCCCAGGTGGTTGACATTGTTGCACACCATCCTGCCTCCCTGGTAGAGAATTGACCTTCCCTGATGTCATTTCCTTTTGTGATGGGATGGTTGCATTAGTAAGAGGGATGTGAGCAAGGTGGGGAAGCAATGCTGGGATGTTGGGTTGTGGTGCTACATAGCATGCTGGAGAGGGATCTTGAAGCTTTGAAAGTGCTGCAGTAGAGTTCCGAATGGAGGATTCCCCAGTATGTGTCTCGGTTAAACTGGTGTGGTCACCCTGATGCCTGGGTAGCGAAAAGAACATGGTAGTGTAAAAGCCTGTTTCTCCAGAACGTAAAACCATGCTGAGTACAACTGACATATAATCATCCAGCTCGGATCTTTGTTCTGGAAAAGTTGAGCCAATTATATAGCGGTTAAGGCAGTATGCTAAAGCGAGGAGCGAGGGGGAGAAAGGATAGACTAGTAGAAAATGACAAATGATGCTGAGAGGAGCCTGTGATGGGGCCCCTTGGGTTGCTGCGTGGAGCTCTTGGTTGGCTGTTAGAGAAATATTAGGAGGACTAGAGGCCATATTGCTGTGTACAGCTAAAGGAAGGTTAGGGATGGTGGTATGAAATGATGTGTGTGCATGGATATATTAGGAGGAGCAGGGCAAAATGACATAGCCCCTGCTAAGCCTTAGACCAGGTCCTGGTCCCTGGCCCTGGAGTGGGTGGAGAAAAGATCATTGCCTGAATCAGAGGCATTTCGGATCCATGGTGAGTTGATTTTTTGGTGTAATCAAAGGTAGCATTAGTCTAACTTTTAAGACTGATGCAAGTGTGCAATTAAGTGCAAAGCATGGTCTGTCAAGAAAACTGAAACAAACAGGACAGGATGGGTTAACCAGGTGTAAGTAAGCTTGACAGGTGATCAGAGGAGTGGTTGAGGCGTGGCCCTGCCCCCCAACGCAAGTTAACTTCATTAGTTCAAGTGTTTGTTTTGTGTTTAGTTTGTCTTCAGTTTTGTTTTTCACTGTCACTGTCTTGTGTTTCAATGTTTCGTGCTGTTTTGGCAAATTCAAGCAGAGTACACTCACAAGTGATATGTGAATGATTATTCCAAATTTCCAAATAAGGGAAGAAGAAAAAGGCAAAATTCAGTTCAATACTGTCAACAAAAATGTTTTTTCTGTATACTCTCAAATCTCTCTGGATAAGTAAGTAGAAGTTCATAGTATTTCACATTCGCTGTTCTCATATTAGGTACTATATATACGGGCATACACTACATGCTGTTTATCAGGAACTGATATATCTAACACATTTCTCATCCTCCCTGGTTTTCATCCATGCATTAAAAAATCCATGAAAATTCTGTCTGAACATATTCTCATGCGTGCTAACTCTGTTTAGTAGTCCGTCTGTGCCAGTGGTATGCAGTGTGCTCTAGTTAGTAGTGATGCTGTGTGTTTGTACTGTAGGCTTTATGTGGAACAGATAAAACGCAAACACGCAAACCTAGTTGGCCCAGACAGAATTAAACATCAGTGGGAAATGTGTGAAGGCTCTGAGCCCTGCTGACTGAGCCGCCTCTTTCCTTTAATCAAAAGAAAATTGCCGCCAGCATCAGTGCCAAGCAAAATCATTGTAGATGAATGTCCAATCAGGGAAAACATGGTATGTGAGATGCAACCACTTTTACGACAGTGTTGAGTATGTTTCTGTGTCTGTACTGTGTTCTGCCTGTGACCTGAATGTTAAAATGTTTATGTTTAGGTCTCACCAATGAGCATTACCAGGATGACACACGACTCTTTGGAGGTACTCGCCCTCAGTCTTTTCCTCTTGTATCAGCTGCTGTCATTTACCTGCTCCTAGGAAGTTTCAAAGAGACGCTTAGAGAGTGGCACTGTTGTGTGAACATCAGGCCCAGTTCAATAGACGGCGAATCAGCCTAATCCCAGAGACTGTGCAGCTTTATCAAACATTACCATTTTGTGCAGCACTTAACTCTGTCTGTGGGTCTGCTGTCCAAAGTATTGATTAAAACTGATTGAATAATACTTCACACTACACTAGAACGAAAGACACATTCATTTATTTAAACAAACACTATCCAATTAGATGTACATATGTATCTATACGCCTATATACAGCCCCTATGTCTTCCTCTACACTATTAAATTAGTGTAATTAAACTGGATGGTGGAGGTGGACAGCAAAATAGCCACCTGTCATTGTCTCGTGTTTTGTGTTTGTTGCTCTATGGTCATCCATCATTGTTAAGTGTTGTGGTCGTGTCCTCATTTAATCCTATCTTTATAGCTACTGAATGTACATTACTCTCCCATTTTGCCACTCTTATGTCTTATGCATTTTTGTTCTTTTTTCTTCTTTACCTGCAGCCTACATAGAGGATGTTGCACGCTGTGTGGACCAGAGCAAACGCCTCATTATAGTGATGACACCCAACTATGTGGTGCGGCGAGGCTGGAGCATCTTTGAGCTGGAGACGCGGCTGCGCAACATGCTGGTGACTGGTGAGATCAAAGTTATCCTGATCGAGTGTGCCGAGTTGCGCGGCATCATGAACTACCAGGAGGTGGAGGCTCTCAAGCATACAATTAAAACCCTTACTGTCATCAAGTGGCGTGGCACCAAGAGCAACAAGCTCAACTCCAAGTTCTGGAAGCAGCTGCAGTACGAGATGCCATTCAGGCGCACAGAGCCCATGCTCACCCACGAGCCGGCGCTGGACGTCAGCGAGCAGGGCCCCTTTGGAGAGCTGCAGACCGTCTCCGCAATCTCCATGGCAGCAGCCACCTCCACCGCCATGGCTACCGCCCACCCCGAGCTGCGCTCCTCTTTCCACAACACCTACCACACCACCATGAGGCAGAAACACTACTACCGCAGCTACGAGTATGACATACCCCCTGGAGGGACCCTGCCACCTCTCTCCTCTCTGGGGAACCAGCACACCTACTGCAACATCCCACTAACACTGCTGAACGGACAGAGGCCTCCTGGGAAGAGCCGAGAGCATAGCCTGGAGGAAGCACATGCTAACAACGCCATGCTCCCTCTGCTGCCAAGAGAAACCAGCATCTCCAGCGTCATCTGGTAATGATGAACAGACTCAGCATCAGCTGTAGGGAGGTCAGTCAAGATCAGACATGGCTAGATTCAGTCTGGTAGCTCTTAGGAACACAGTTTTTGGTGGCGATAAGGGCGAAAAGTGTTGTGGATCCTTTTGGTTCCAACTGGCAGAAGAGATACAGCAGGTTTTTGGACACAGTTTCCCTTGTTTTTTCAAGTGGACAGCGCCTCTGGTGGAGAGGATGTTTTCTATGTGGAACTACAGGAGATATAATAAAAACACTGTTTCATGAAACTAGCGAGGCACAGACTTGCAAGAACTCCACATTAAAGAACCAACACACTATGGCAATTGTTCACACACCCGCATACAAATACACACACAAATGTGCATACATACAAACAAAAGGAAAACAGGGTCTTGTACATATATTTCAATTTATTTGTAGCATCAGTGTTTTCCTGTTTTGTTCTTTTGTTTGTTCTATTCAATCATGTTTGTTGCCTTCTCTACTGTAGGACTTTGCTTTAACTTGTTATACAGAGTTGTATATTTTTTATTGTTTTCTCTTTTTAGTTTCTTTTTTATTCTTATTTCAATTTGCTTGTTTGGAAAGCCAGTATGTCATGTACCTGCGCTGTTGTGGATTTTTTAATTTTTTTGTTTCTTTGTTTCTTTGTTTTTAAATCTTTGTGTAGTTTAAGAGAACATTTTTTAACACTTTTGGAATTGCCTGGACATTTCAGGAGCTTCAAGGAGCTGAAACTTCTTTTTGTTTACCTGTAAAAGGTGTATCTAGTTTAAACGGAAACTCTCTTTTAAAAAATCATAGAATATGCAAAAAGAAGGACGAGCTGGCAAAAATATACCGTCCTGTGGGACCGAGAAGGAGGAGCAGTTGGGGGGCCGCATTAGTCCTCTCCAATCAGATAGACCGATAGACTGGCAGATCTCTCTCTAAAGCTTCATATTTTCTATTGAAACAAACAGCCTTGCTGTTTTAGAGTGATAGTGAAATGCCTCACCTTAAAAAGAAATCTGTAGATTATTTTGAAAAGAATTCTATTTTTGTAACAGAAAAGAGTTTGCTTGAGAAGTCATACTTATTTGCATTTCATCTACCATAGAAAGGGGATTTGTGTATAAGTGTTATGCTGGTTTTGTACACTTGCAATGTGGTTTCTGGTTTGTTAAGAGATTAAGGTGGCTTTTGAATTCCACATGAAAAAATATGTCCTCTACTGTTCTAGATTCAAAAGTGAAGCATTTTCAATGTTTTGGTTTTTAAAACATAATATTATTCCCATCCTGATAATTACTTTGGTTCATATGGATAGTTCATGTTTAAGGAAAGAAAAGAATACATTTGTGTTTTGAAAGACTTTTTAAATATATTTGAAGGTGTGATTTTTGAGTATGCATAGCAAATAGATATGTATTCTAAATATAATATAGATATTTATATAAATATATAAACACAATTTTCACTTGGAAAGAAATGTCTATCTTTATAGAAACACAATCATTATCAGTTGCCCTTACTTTCTCACTGCACATTAAAAACATTGATTTCCTCTTGATGTTTTCCTTTTGTGTCCAACTTTGACCATTTGTTGGCAGTAATTCATAACATCTGCCTCACGCACTGATTACACTCCTAAAATCCACATTAATAGTCAGATTAACGGCATGTTCATAAATCTTTATGCCTTCACTGGTGACACCGGTGGAGTACTGCTGCTTCTGAAATGCCTCTAAACACTGCAACTAAACTGTTCACCTGCCAACTCCTCTAGTAGTGGACAACACTCCAGGACTATAGTACAAGACAGCCCGAGAGCACTGTGTGCATGTGCGTACAACTGTTCTCTCTCCATGTGCTCATTCAGATTGTTTTCATTAATAACTATAGTTTCTTGAAGGATAGTTCCAGTTGTATTCCAGCAATTATCTCAAGCCAACAATGAACGAATCAATGAATCGTGAGAGATATACTGTACTACACTGTAACAAAAGGAGACTATAGGAATGAATGTCCACTTGTATGTTTGGATTGTTGTGTTCCTTTCTTCCAGTAATTATCTTGCTTTTAAGAAACACATTACATTATACAACACTGACCAACATTATCATTACAGCAGAATTTCAGTGCTAACCTTGCTAGGCTGCTGGAGACCAAACCACAGTGATACCAGACCAATCAGCGTCCTGTGAGAAACTACTGGCAGCTGGAATGAGCTAAGGGCATGGTAACACTAGGTGTATGTGTGACGATATCAGTTTTATCAGAAATGGAGAATATTGCTTCACTGAAAGAAGAGCAAAGAACAACAGTGAAGGCTTTTCTTAATAGAAAACATGTTTTCAATCTTCTCTCGACTGGTTTAGAGAGTTTGACTACATTATATGGTTCGTTGATATGATTGATTGAAGTTCGCCAGTGATAGATGTGATAGATGGTTCATCCAGTCACCTGCCAACTATTTTTAGTACCTGCCCTTTTCCCGACAATGACTTTCCAGATGGTTTTGTGTAATAAACCATCTGGCACAGTCAGGTTAAGTCGGTGCAATGTGCAAAGGAAAGAAAGGTCAACAATTAGACACGATGTAATGACGAGGTCATTATGGGAATCTCACATTTTTAAAATGTGTTGATATGGGGTCTCTGAGGCCTTGTAGTCTAAAAACACCATGTAATCTTCCCTGGTTCAATACTGGCTGGGGACAGCTGCATGGTATCCCCTGGCTCTCTCCCCATGTTTCCTGTCTATCTCTCCTGTCAGATAGAGGCAGAAATGCCAAAGAAAAGTGCTGATGTAGTAAACATTTTGGCTTAAAGTCAAGGATTCTCATTTGATGCCTGACTTTTGCTTGGCAACCTAAACACAACGTTGAGTGCTGCCAAACAGTGCCATCTCCTGGGGATTCACAATATCTACGGGGGCTGTTTGTGATTGGACACTGGTAAACACAGAAACACAGAAAAAATTACTGACTCTCCTGACAATCCCAGGAGAGGACAGAAAAAGAGAGAAACTGGGGCAGAGGAAAAAGATGGGGACACAGTTAAAGGCAGAGGAAGGGAGAAAGCAAATGAAAGAGTTTGTCACTATAAAAGACATTATATGGACATATTTGTTGGTGCCAGGGTGCACAAAAGAAGCTGTAAAGCACAGATGGTTTCAGACTATGCAAACACAAAAGGGAAAAAACACATATAACTGCAGCGATGAAAACATAAATCAACCACTGGAATTTGCTTTGCACACATGCAAGCACACACAACATGTTGTCAACCACAAGTAGAGCGGGTGACTGTTGCGTGTTGGCAGCCTCCTGCCAGACAGCTGGGGTTTTATTAGCAGACACAGGATTAATAGACTCTATTACCCAGAGCAATTAAGGACCTAATTGGAGAGAAAATAGGCCCCATCGAGAGGGAACATGTAGAGGAGATAGACAGAAATAAGCATATCTTCAGAGCAAAGTCCACAGTGGCATATGTAAGAGGGGGCTGTGTGTGTGTGTGTGTGTGTGTGTGTGTGTGTGTCATTTTTGTCTTTTCCTGCAATGCCTTATCAGACCACCGTGAGGTGTGTGAGCGTTAGTGATGGTCTCACATGAACATTAATTATGTATCTCATGTTTTCATTGATGCTGCTTATTATTGTATTCAAGTTCTTCCTTGCTGTGGAATTCCATTTCGATTGCATGAGATTAATCAGTCCTGAATAGGAATAGATATAGCACATAGACAAAGCCATTGCTACTTTGAGGAGCACTTGAAAACCCTACTGGCACTTGTAAATATCTTGTCATTGAGTTTTTGTTTAGAAGATAGACTGTAATTTGATTGAATTACTGGGAAATCTATAATAATATATATATATTTTTAGTATTTCACTTATTATTTGTCATAACAACATGTACCACCTCCCACTGGCTGGTGCACAGCCACTGATGACAATGCTCTCACTTTTAAGGTCTACCTAGGAACAAGAGGTAATTTTATGGTCCAGTGGCTCTCTGACTGAGAGAGAATCTGTCCATCTTTTTCTAACTCACTTCCACGCCTTTATTTGGGTTAGAGTATAATAATTAGTGGTTAGGGTTAGATTTACATCTAAAATAATAACCTTATGGACAGATTCTTTAGTCTGTGGTGGGCAAAACAAAGCAGCAGGGAGTGTGCACAGGTACAGGCTGCCATCTGGCCTTTGAACAGTGAATGAGTGTAGATGCTGCAAGCAGGAATCAGGTGTTCAGGGACTCAGAGATAATTTGGTCACACTGTTGTATGCATTGCAACTGCAGAAAATCTTTGCCGCATTGTCCAAGAGAAACTCTCAGTTGTACAGGTGTTTCATCACATAGATCTCTGTTGAACTAGTGGAATCTAATGTTTTATGATAAGGCCATAAGCCTACAGTATCTACCCTTGTCTTTATGTGACTTTTCCAGATCCTCTACCTCTGCACGATTTCCATTCCTCCATCCCTCCTCTAGATACTTTCTGCCAGGGGCATTTAAGTCTGCATCCACAAAATTCCACACTGTAATGGCCAAAGTTGGAGGGACAGGTAGAACATTACCTGGGGCAGTTTGACTACATCATTTCTGAATCTGTCTATGTGTGTGTTTGTGTGTGTGTGTGATGTTGATGGGGAGGGTGATGCATTTGCACGGCACAACTGCTGCATGTGGTATACTGTTGCACTCTGGTGGTCTGACATTGCATTTCACCAGTATTTATGCCGTACTGTACAGCAAACAGCCTGTGTGGGTAACTTAACGGTAGCCTCCCAAGACTCATCTTAATCTAAAGCTGATGGAATAAACCTTTGTTAATAACGTTGACATGAATCAGTGTGACTGATTTTTTATAGTTATCAGTGCTCACAAACTGAAACATATTATCTTAAGATTCTGTCTGGGACTGATTTAACATTTTACCCAGTGAAAAGTGTGTCAGTTATGACAGAGCTGATATCACACACACACACACACACACACACATATAGACACACAAATGCACAAGAACAGCAAATAAAAAAACAGTTCTGAGAGTATTTCTTTATTATAAAAAAATAGTTTATATAAAAACAAATAAGTTATGAATTCCAGCAGCTGCTTTGTTTTTTCCTCTATTATAACATAGTTTGCCCTCAACACACTCTCGCTTCTCATTCTCTCATACACACACGCACACACTTAGCCTGTGTTGGTCACTGTCACAGTCCTTGAATATCTCCAACACACAGTAGTTGTAAATTCAGTCCCTATTATCCTCTTCATCTTCCCTCACCTCATACTCAATAAGAGATTGGAGCATTTCAGTCCATCTGGCATCTGGATCTGCTGAATTCACCTCAGTCCACTGTGGACTGTGACCTATTTCCCGTAGAACATCTCCATGAGCACCTCCTCGATGTTGACGGCCCCTATAACGGGTCTGAAGAAGAGTTGCGCGACCACCAGCGGGTTGATGGCCCTCAGCATGGACAGAGCTATGAGCAGTTTGGCGAACCGCGTCGTGTCTTCGCGGTGGATCAGCCTGACGTGCTCGTTCAGAGCCTGGTGCGCTTCCCGACGCAGAGACTGGATGTAGTGGAGGCAGCGCAAACCCTCCACATCTGGAGGAAAGAGAGAGGACAGGAAAGGAGAGGAGAAACAGAGAGTGAGATGAGCGGAAGGAAAAGTTCAGTATGGTTTTATACAATCATGCTGTAACAGCTATCAGTAGGAGGACGCAATAAACCAGTTTGTTACCCAAATCCCAAAGTCTCAACATGATAACAGCTTGACATGATTATTTAAGTAGATTAATGGCATCTACTATATCTCATTTCAATCATACGCAGGTTACTTTTAGAAAACATGTCAAGGCAAAATCTTCTCTGTAAATATTTGACCAACCATCATCTAACTCTAACCCTAATAAACCACACAAAAATAATCGCTAATCAACAGTTTGCACTTTACTGCGTAAAATAACGCACAGGTATGAAGAGCCTACCTGGGTTGAACAGCACAGCTCCTTTCAGGTACGCATACTCCTTCGTACTGATATCTACACTCCAGCACTTCTTCAGGAAGGCTTTGATAGCTTCGATATCCACGACAGAGACCCCGGCTGCCCCCCTGCTTTGGCCAGCCGGCACCTCGCTCTGCCTGTCCGGTAAACCCGTGAGGATGCGCTGCAGCATGCTGGGCTCCACGGTCTCCGTGGTCTCAAAGTCCACTCGGTCTTGTGCGAGTCCCAGCACGAGCAGGGGTGCCCAGCCGCTCCGGATCAACATCAGCTGGTCGTCCTCCGGCAGCTCGCGAAAACAGGGGACATTTTTCACGAACCGCAGCGTCTTCACCAGAACCGCCGAGGCGGCTTTGCACGTCACCTGCGGGGAGCGGAGGATACCTCTGCGCCGGGTCGAGCCGCAGGAGCAAGCCTGC